AACCAAGACATGGCCTCATCAATCATTGAAATCCACAACAGTTAGTTGAAACCACGTCGGAAGGTGCAGACTTCCTAACTGGGGTCCTCGGGATAGTAAAAACCAATGGCTGGAGACAATAGGTGACATGGCTCAAAATCGTTGTCAATGGCGCAGATGTATTCAGTCTTTGTTATCTTTCATATTTCTTTCTACCATTACCCATTCTGTTTCACTCTTATACTTGTCAAACTCTATTGATTCTCTTCACTCATCTTGTCTACCTTTGTGTGCTATTTGGAACGTGGTAACTCGAACTGCTGCACTTCGGTGCCAAGTTCTATGTTGAATCCAGACAGAAAAGGCGAATGATAAATGAAACAATCTCTTGGAAAAATTGCACCGTAATTAGCTCTCATGATAGACGATTGGAAAGAACACTTTGAGGAGCAGTTTAATTGGCCTAGAGTCACGCCCAACTTACCAAGCATCCAACACCTCCCTGAATGGGATATAAACACAGGTCCTCCGTCCCTAACTGAGATTACTAAGGCTGTCACTAGTCTGAAACGTGGCAAAGCAGCAGGACATGATGGAACGACTCCACAGGTGTTTAAAGACGGGGGAGACAGTTTACTGTCTGGGTTAACTTAGGTACTAGAGTGTATGAGAATCAGAGAAAGTCCCGTTGGATTTGTGTAAGTCATTGATTATTCCAATATAAAAGAAGGGAGACAAGTCTTCCTGTGATAATCACAGGGGGATTAGGTTGACTAATATGATAACTTAAGTTCTAGGCTCAATAATAATCGGTGCTCGGGAGACACAAACACGAGAGAACCAGGCAGGCAGGAAGAGGAAGTATCGGTCATATCTTCACCATTCGAGAAATTCTGGAACACAGGCATACCTACTGGCGTCCAACAGTTGTCATATTTTTCGACCTGAAAGCGGCACTCGATTCTGTCAACCGAGAGGTACTCTGGCGATGTTTAGCTGTAAAGGGAATCCCGGGAAAATACATTGTACTGATCAAGCCACTCACTCAACTCGAACTCATACAGACAGCCAGGTGAGAGATTACGGCGAGTTGAAACTGAATTGGTGACAACTAGTGGTATCCGTCAAGGACGCCCACTATCCTTATTTCTATTCAGTTTCATCATAGATGTACTCATGGAATTGACCCTAACTGCTGGCTTCAGCGACTTAAGGACTGATTTGTTACCAGGGGAAAGCCTTGCTGACTTAGAATATGCAGATGATATAGTCCTTCTGGGTGAAGACGCTGACAAAATGCACTCTTCGGAATGCCTTGAGCTGCGGATGTTCGGCATGGAGCTACAGGACTGGAATACATTGACTCCTAGCTTATAAATAGGGAGTGAAGTGGGAGAGCACGTTCACTTATTTGGTAAGTTGCATCAGCCAGCGCTACGGGTTGATCGCCGACGAAATCTCATCACAGACACAGAGGGCTTGTTTCGCATATGCCAGTTTACGCCGTCTCTGGCGTAGACGTGATATCCGACTGGCTATCGATCGAAGGGCGTGTATACTGCTCAGCAGTCCGCTCCTCCTCCTTTAAGGATGTGAGACCTAGCCATTGAAAGTGGAAGACATGAAAAGGTTGGCTAGCTGTCTTTGAGCTTAAGTGCCTGCGTTCTATCTACAGTGTTAGGTATAATGATAAGATGAGCAGTATCGAAGTTCGGCGTCGGTCAAGTGCTAGATAAGGAGGGGAAATCAATCGATGAGGTTGTGAAGCAGTTACACCGATTGAGGTGGTTAAGACAAGTGTTACGTATACCTATGCATAGCCTTCCTTGACGGGCAATGTTAGCTAACAGGATGGATCAGATCGGAAAAGAGCTGGCGGCGGTCAAACCAAGACATGGCCTCATCAATCATTGAAATCCACAACAGTTAGTTGAAACCACGTCGGAAGGTGCAGACTTCCTAACTGGGGTCCTCGGGATAGTAAAAACCAATGGCTGGAGACAATAGGTGACATGGCTCAAAATCGTTGTCAATGGCGCAGATGTATTCAGTCTTTGTTATCTTTCATATTTCTTTCTACCATTACCCATTCTGTTTCACTCTTATACTTGTCAAACTCTATTGATTCTCTTCACTCATCTTGTCTACCTTTGTGTGCTATTTGGAACGTGGTAACTCGAACTGCTGCACTTCGGTGCCAAGTTCTATGTTGAATCCAGACAGAAAAGGCGAATGATAAATGAAACAATCTCTTGGAAAAATTGCACCGTAATTAGCTCTCATGATAGACGATTGGAAAGAACACTTTGAGGAGCAGTTTAATTGGCCTAGAGTCACGCCCAACTTACCAAGCATCCAACACCTCCCTGAATGGGATATAAACACAGGTCCTCCGTCCCTAACTGAGATTACTAAGGCTGTCACTAGTCTGAAACGTGGCAAAGCAGCAGGACATGATGGAACGACTCCACAGGTGTTTAAAGACGGGGGAGACAGTTTACTGTCTGGGTTAACTTAGGTACTAGAGTGTATGAGAATCAGAGAAAGTCCCGTTGGATTTGTGTAAGTCATTGATTATTCCAATATAAAAGAAGGGAGACAAGTCTTCCTGTGATAATCACAGGGGGATTAGGTTGACTAATATGATAACTTAAGTTCTAGGCTCAATAATAATCGGTGCTCGGGAGACACAAACACGAGAGAACCAGGCAGGCAGGAAGAGGAAGTATCGGTCATATCTTCACCATTCGAGAAATTCTGGAACACAGGCATACCTACTGGCGTCCAACAGTTGTCATATTTTTCGACCTGAAAGCGGCACTCGATTCTGTCAACCGAGAGGTACTCTGGCGATGTTTAGCTGTAAAGGGAATCCCGGGAAAATACATTGTACTGATCAAGCCACTCACTCAACTCGAACTCATACAGACAGCCAGGTGAGAGATTACGGCGAGTTGAAACTGAATTGGTGACAACTAGTGGTATCCGTCAAGGACGCCCACTATCCTTATTTCTATTCAGTTTCATCATAGATGTACTCATGGAATTGACCCTAACTGCTGGCTTCAGCGACTTAAGGACTGATTTGTTACCAGGGGAAAGCCTTGCTGACTTAGAATATGCAGATGATATAGTCCTTCTGGGTGAAGACGCTGACAAAATGCACTCTTCGGAATGCCTTGAGCTGCGGATGTTCGGCATGGAGCTACAGGACTGGAATACATTGACTCCTAGCTTATAAATAGGGAGTGAAGTGGGAGAGCACGTTCACTTATTTGGTAAGTTGCATCAGCCAGCGCTACGGGTTGATCGCCGACGAAATCTCATCACAGACACAGAGGGCTTGTTTCGCATATGCCAGTTTACGCCGTCTCTGGCGTAGACGTGATATCCGACTGGCTATCGATCGAAGGGCGTGTATACTGCTCAGCAGTCCGCTCCTCCTCCTTTAAGGATGTGAGACCTAGCCATTGAAAGTGGAAGACATGAAAAGGTTGGCTAGCTGTCTTTGAGCTTAAGTGCCTACGTTCTATCTACAGTGTTAGGTATAATGATAAGATGAGCAGTATCGAAGTTCGGCGTCGGTCAAGTGCTAGATAAGGAGGGGAAATCAATCGATGAGGTTGTGAAGCAGTTACACCGATTGAGGTGGTTAAGACAAGTGTTACGTATACCTATGCATAGCCTTCCTTGACGGGCAATGTTAGCTAACAGGATGGATCAGATCGGAAAAGAGCTGGCGGCGGTCAAACCAAGACATGGCCTCATCAATCATTGAAATCCACAACAGTTAGTTGAAACCACGTCGGAAGGTGCAGACTTCCTAACTGGGGTCCTCGGGATAGTAAAAACCAATGGCTGGAGACAATAGGTGACATGGCTCAAAACCGTTCCCTCTTTGCGATTTTAAATATTTTTTAAAATTTGATTGTTCTACCGTATTACTACTCTTTTTGGCCACATGTGTTTGGGTCCGTTTTAACTTTCTTCTCTTGCCTTGTGTGCTACAAGAAGTGTGGTAACTCGAACTTCTGCACATCGGTGCAAAGTTCTGTATTGGAACCAATCAGTCACCTTATTATTTGAGAAATACTAGGTTCAAAATTAGAACGGCAACAACACGCAGACTGTTTCAGACAATCATTTTCCTGATTACGCTGAATACTTCGTTTTGATGCGGTGTGAGAAATTTTTAAGGTAGTTGTGTTCTCTGAGCTGGATGTGTGACTTATTTAGGTAAACCATCTAACTCAGTAAACACAACTACATGAAAATCATCCACCAGAGCTAAAATTCTCCTCCATTATATCTAGTGGTGAAACTTAAACGCAGTTAAAGCTCGCTACCCTCTGACTGTCATATTAACGCTAAATATAATGTTTTAGTGGAGGGTGACTGATGACACATTCTGGCCAGCTCTGCGTGAAGTCACCATAGCGAAATTATCATCAAAACATGAAGATATTGCGTCAGCGGCTGCTAATACCAACTGTCAACCTGGGATTGTTGTGATACATAAGGACCGATGGATGAAGATATCATCCAGCGGATTGTACAAGCACACAGTCTATCACGAAAATATGAAAGATAGGGACCCTGGCTAAAGCTTTCTCCTACGCTAATTAACCTGCTGTTTTCAGAAGTGACAGCTTGTACTAACTCCTAGTTCAATACAAATATCTTCATGGTGAAATACTGACTTAGGTTGGGAATACACTGAGCAGCATAATTACACGAAAGTTCAGTAATTCATTATACTACAAGCAGTCAGATGCAGATGATAAACACTAAAAGCTCTTTCAGTTATTGTACGCAAGAAACATTGACTAAGAGTTTACGCTTTGTTCAAGAAAAAGAAACAACTTATAGGCAACGATTCATCGGATAACCGAAAGAAAAGTCAAGATTTATTGGCACTGCAATTTTCACATTAAAAACTAGATCACTGGTTTAGCTTAACAATATGCAACAGCGAAAATCACTTTATTTAAGCGGATATATATTGAGAATATTTAAAATTGTCAGCATCGTCTCGGGGTTCGACGACGAGGAGCAGCTTTAATAATATTATCGACGCGAATGATCATCTCCGCAGCTTCCGAAGCTGATGTCAACAAATGATGTTTGACATCGTATGATTCAATTATCCCAAGTTTATTCATATCAGCAATAGTTCCATTGTTCATATCTGAAAGAGAAGGAAAAAATGGGGCTAAGATTATTATTGAAAGAATAGATTGAAAAGTTCCTCTCACCAACCTAATGAAAAAAAATATTTTATGCTATTCTTTTGTCTTCTAAATGTCTGAATGGGAATTCTTGTTATCATGAAAAAACATCTAAAATAGAATCGTCTCTCTAGTTATGTGATAGTAAGGTTGTCTCGACTATGCTTGCAATGCCAATTGCGATATTGAATATGAGTTCGTATGTAGTTAAACCAAAATCGGACATTTCATCAGTTACTTGGACTCAAATTACCAACGAGAGTTAAACAGACCTGTAAAATTTTACTCAAAAAGTACATTGCAACGTTACAGTAAAAAATGCCCTTTATGAGTTCAGTCCTCAACCAACTTTTGTACTATACACACTCTAACGATGTGGAGAAACGGGGGAACTCTCAGTCTACCTTTCAAAACGGGAAAAGTCACACAGCATAGAATCATCCAGCAGGTTAATAACTGACATCATCATTAGGGCCAACTAACAGATCCAAAATGCTATCAAAGGATGCAATAGTCCCAAGTTCTCTGAACATTAGTAATAGGGGCACAACAATGGCGAATTCTCTTCCATGGAAACTAAAGATATTCAAACTCATTTATGTGTAACTGTCTCGTTTTCACTAGGCATAAAAGTTTACCAATAATTCGTTACATGTTTCTTAGTCTGCCCAGTACACAAACATTTACAAGCAAAATATACAAGGAATCAATATACTTACCCAAACCCATGCTATTTTTTCCATTTGCGTGAGCAGCTCGCAACTGAGAAATTAAGTCAGCACTATCGTAACCTCCATTATCAGCTATAATAGTAGGTAAACGCCTCAGAGCTCGTGCAAAGGCCTCCATAGCTAAAGATATTTTCCCTGGAGTCTTAGCAGCACCCTGGGCTACTGCCTCCGCCATCAACATTTCCATAGCTCCACCACCACACACTGTTCGAGGATTTTTAACAGTCAGCGCCAATACACACAAAGCGTCATGTAGAGAACGCTCTGCTTCAGCCAAAATACTTTTTGTTGCTCCTCGCAAAACTATTGTGCAAGCTTCACCTAAAGCGACACCACTGAATCGCAGCAATTTATCTTCCCCAATAGTTACCTATCAAAGTGAAATAAATTAATAAATACAAACATGGGTAAAGTGCACGACAACTTAAACATGTACGTTTTTCCATAAAACACTCGCAACACAATATTCAAATCAATGTAATCATTAGCTTTTTTGTTGATACACTACTGGCAATAGTGTGTTCATTATTATTTATTCGACCAGGCACACAATTGATGTGCCCAAAATATTCACAACAATAAAACACAGCTAACAAAAAAGTTCGAACTTATTCGACCTGGCCGGGTCAAGTAATATAATCAGCACTAATCAATTAAGGCAGTTACTCCAAATCAGGCAGTAACTTCAAGGATGATTTATGTCTTCTATCCCTCTAACTACAACCAGGCCAAAACTCACAAGTAGGCATAAACGTAAGTAAACACATGACATAAGGTGCACACAAATAAGACAAAGGCGATGAGATACACGACAACAAACGCCAATCATCATCAATGGGATAAATCTGATAGTAGTCGTCTTTTATACTCACCTGAGCAGCATCGTTTCGACTACAGGAGACAGGATTAGATGGGAAAAGCAAGCCAGGCGCGAATCACACTGAAATCAGTGTGGGGATCTGCAGTGATCAGCACAAGAACACACAGATTCAAAGTTTTAATACTAATACCAAGTGAGTGTCAGAAAAGGATAAGAAACAAAAAACCCGCGTCGGTGAACCAAACGAGAGCCTACTGCTCAATCAATATGCGGAAGGAAATCGAGGTGGGTTGGGCATATGCTGAGGGGCCCCTCTGATTGACGTGACACGCCAGGATGTCAACTGAAACCCTATTGGGAAGCGACATATTAGTTGTCCGTATGTGACACAAGAGATCACATGAGGTGGAAGTCAGAGTTTATGGGCAACCGTGAACACTGAAATGATGTCTGGCATTTCACTCTAAAACCAAGGGACAAATGATGATAATAAAAGAACAATAACACTGATACTCACCTCTTCTATCAGTTCACAGTGTCCTAACTTCGTGGTTTCAGGAGAGTCAAACGTTGATACGATTTCGCCACCGGTAACAAGAGCCAATCTTTCTACACCTTCGAAATCTGCATGTTCAATAGCCATAATGCCAGCATCAGCAAACAATTGCTCCGGATAATTATATATTAATTGTCTGGAAGTAAGATTCCCAGGTTATATTGTTAGGTACACAGTAAAGTGAATATATATATATATATATATATATATATATATATATATATTCGAGATGCTTTACATTTATAACTAAATTAGGGGCAGTCTTCAAATATAATTCGGTTTGCTAACATGGATGACAGACCGCTACATAATCACGGAAAAATTAACACATTCAGCCAAAATTCATTTGGAATTTTCTAATGATTATACGAAACAGCAATACTTAAAAATATTTCTATATTACCTAAGGATAACTACAAGCAACTGTTAATCCAGCAACTATGAAGATATTTAAAATCGACTGAAGAAATATACTTACACCAAGTTTCAGCCCAAATTCTAGGGAACCGCATGAATTACTGCTCTAGGCTCTAAAGCAGTGTATTTCCCTAAAATGGCTTTGACCACTACACAGATTTGCAGTATCACTGATCAAAAAATATGCACATGTGTATTGTAGTAGATTAAGTTTTAGTCGCATTTTTGGATGCCAAAAGCTTAATGCTATAAAATTCCGTGTCAGCAGGTCTGCACCTATTCATTGTTATGCTTCTGACCATTCCTATGTACATGACAGACTAACTTATTGACGTAAGACTTTGTACATGAGTATACCAGTTGAAATTGTTACGCTTCAGAGAAGCACATAGAAGTCGAGAATAGGTATGTAATAAAATTACACTGAAGAAACAATAACTAGGTGCGATGGAGATCTCGAGAATCCAGAATATGACAAGTATTGAATATATCTGTACCACTGCGAACGACTTTGAGCTGTCTGACAACAAACTCAGCATCATGAGGACTTTGTTAGACAGCCTACGTGGTTCAAGCTAGTAGTCAAGGTCTTCAAGAATTGGTATCATTCATAACTTACCCGTTTCTAAACATCTCATAGCCTAGTCTAACTTACGTCGACATGGTTCGTCGAGTAAGGCCGGTATGCTTAGAACATGCCCTAGTCATATCAAATTGGTGGTTTTACCACCCTGTACAGTGGCTTTTTTCACTTTTTAAACAACCCATCCCTAGTCCTATTATTACTGAAAGAAAGCACTTATAGTCCAGAACTGCTAGTCTTTTTACGACTTTTTCTTTTAACACCTATTTTAGCGTTTTCATACATAAGGGACAGAATCTTTTTACTCAGAATCAATCAAAATATACTCCAGTAACAAATCAATCTCTGAAGAATTGAAGCCGACTAAGGTCACATGTAACAGGTGTCGTTGGACAGTCCTGATGGAGGCCATCGGTATTATCACTTCAGATGACAACCAACCATTAGCTATTAAATGGCTTCATAACTTTGAGTAGAGAGCATAGTACACTACATAATTTTGGCACAACACATTCGGAGTTAGATTGCGATTTCAGATCAATGAGGTTAAGTTCCATCTTCATGTAAAGAAACACGCCAGGTGAGGGACACGAATGGGCATGTCCATTTTCCAGAACCTATCGGAGGATGGAGATAAGCTTAATGGACCCACATTCGGGGTTAAAGCTCATTTTTTTCCTCAGCTTCGTTTTTCCAGCAACATATTTGGTCTAGATAGCATAATATTAGAGTCTGATCATCCTGGGACGACGCAATATGTTCATGAAAGGTTTGACAAAACCTACTACAGTGGAAATTGTATCTACTTTAGTCTCAGAATAATGTTCAGAGTGGAGTTCGTCATAAGATGACAATTATCATTCATCAGCAAAATTACTTCACACACTCGAAAATGTAACATTATGAAGCACTCTAGTGCCTCTAAGTTGCAACTCAAGCACGAGTATCGATTGATATAAAACGATGTATAAAGTAATTCCACTTTGAGTTGCTACGACTTTCAGTGACAAGAAAAGAAATGGGGATGAATTCACGAGGGAAAAACGAAAAAGGTAGAGTAAACAAATAACTGAAACTAAACGACTAATGCAGGTGTGATTAAATTATAACGCAAGTAAATAAATGCATATAAAGACGAAACCAAAGTCTACCTGTTGATAAATACCGAACAGTTGTGCTTCAGGATTTTATCAACTTTGTCTTTCATTTTTTGTTTTTCAGCTAGCTCCAACTCAGCAACCTTTGAAACAGCATCTACTTGGATCTTGCTACCGAATACTTTGATTTTATCTGCATCCATAGGTGTATTAGCAATCAGAATTTTCGCTTTTTCAATACGCTTAGGTTGATTAACACCGGGACGTTTGTCCAGAAGAAATCCTTCATCCAAATACGAATCTGTCATAGTACCACCCAGTTTTTGAATTATCTATACATTGAATTGTGAGGTTAGTTGTGTGAAAAAATTATGATTGCGAAATTAATATGGACTGGCAACTTACTTGTATTGCATCTAGATTTCCACTCCCTTTCAGTCGAAGAACAGCGTCCACAGCTAAATTTGCAAAATGTTCTTTGTGTTGAGTCAGAAGCTTGGAGCTTAGTGTTGTACGTGCAATGCACATCAAACGTTCACGAAAGTGAGCATCTGACTGATTTGATAAGCATGCAGCTGAATCAAGAGCTGCTGCAGCCAACTTTGAAGCCTCCCGCCAACCCTGAACAATAGTCTGGGGATGAAGCTTAGCAGCAATCAGCTGTTCACCCTCCTAAATGGGAAAACAGAACAAAATGTGAAAACTTACAAATGAGAAAGTATCTGGAGTAAACATGAGAAAACAAAGCTTTTTACCTGATTCACTAATATATATGAACAGGCTAATCATATGTAACGTATGTACAAAAACTAGCTGCACAAGTTATTTCTGCCATTGTATGTTAGTAGGGAGTGAAAGTCATATAATTCAACCTTGTTATTTGTCATCCACAGTTGCAATCCAAACGATTACGATCAGGCAATAAAATTCAGTGAAGTAAGTAAGACCCTACACAGAACAGACAATATTTCAGTGATAGGCGTAATTTGTCCTAGATACAAAAATAAGATAGCTCTGGTTGACGCGTCTTGGAAACCACTTTTCTCATCGAAGTTGGGCGACCCTGCCCTCATTTTGCTATAACATCCAAGATTTACAAATACAGCATTTTGTTGGATGGATTTTTACTAGGAAACCTGGACGTAAATAATATGCTTGCGAATCTTCAACAAAATTTCATGAAACTTTGCACTACTGATGATTTAGACGCCGCAAAAAACTGGTCGTACAAAAGTAGTTTCCGAAATATCTTTTTGCACACAAATGAATATACTGGATTAGCAGTTAATATTAAAAGTGTAGATGGTGTCAATCGAACATATTAAGAAGAAATGCGTGTGGTTAAGATGCGCTATCTGTACGTCAAAAGGTCTTGGTAACCCAAAGTAAGACATGAATACTTGTTGAAACCCATAAGAAACCTGCTTGTTGCAGCACTTCATTTTAATGCTTATCCTTAACGAGTATAATGACGCAATAGGATTTATCACGTCAACCACTACTTTACAATTACAGCCTAATACTTTGACGAGGCTCAAGAATATAGAGGGAATTCGCAACTTACACGCAGTAGTTCTGCAGCCAGGACAGTGACTGAAGTTGTACCATCACCAACCTGGTCATCCTGAACTTTACTCATTTCTGAAAGAAAATAAATATTTCAGATGAGACATACCAACAAGGATTTTAGCTGCAGGATTATCCACACCAATTGACTTTAGTATGGTAGCACCGTCATTTGTAACTTCGACATTATCATCGGATGACAGGAGAATTTTGTCCATGCCCTTAGGGCCAAGTGTGGTTTTTACGAGGTCGCCAATTGCAATGGCTCCAATGAATGAAGACTTCAGTAAAAAGGTTATCAAATGATAGACTTACCATTCGAGCAGTTTCTGCTCTCTCCTCATCTGCGCCTGAGCTCAGAATGTTAATTGGTTGTAATGACAGCTGAAAAGTAAAGAAACGTTCAATAAAAAGTTAGGCTTTGTGGTGAAAAGGAAAAATATGCATGACTTTAGTGCAGTTAACAGACATTTGAGACTCCGCGAGTAGGAAAATGTAAAAGCCTGACCACTGGGAAAGGTCTGACTTAGTAATCAGAGAGTAATCTTCAGCTCAACTGTTGTATAGTCCACACCAGATGAATAGCAACGCTAACAGCCAAATACCGCTCAACCCGAACAAATTCATCCTTACATATATAAACGTTTCCCAATTTTAACCCTGCACTTTTAAACATCAAGTGAAATACAACAGTCTCGTGTGGATTCAATCACAACCGCAGAGTGATGATACCATAAAAACGCAGAAACAGAAGGCGAAACATGTTTCAGTTAACTGCCACACAAGTATATCGAGTTAGGTTGAGAGTTATATTACTACTCATTCTTTTACATTTCACTTTAAATTGTAAGGCATTTTCAGCTAAATGCCTATTTTCTGCAAAGTGTTGAATGTCATGGCAGATTATTCACTTATTTACACCCTGATATGATCAGCTGTAAATTGAAAAGCCTTATCAACTCTCTACCTACTCTTGGAATTGTTTACGAGCATAATCAAAACTAAGGATGTCTATACAACTATAATACTTTTGCACTTCACAATACTGCTCCAAAACACACAAACTTCAGTTTAGTCCTGCTTCACCCTAGCCAAATGGAATCGTGATTTTGACAATTTATTTTTTGGTACTTAAAACGTTTGCTTATTATTTCCGATGTCCGCGAGCAAGCACTTTCCGTAGAAGATCTCATGAATTTTAATAGCTCTTAGTAAGGATTTAAAGGAGAACATGTCAACTTATTTAACGATGCTTCTAACGTGTCATTCAGATGAACAGCTGACGAAGGAGAACGCTGATTTAACGTGGAAAAAAGGCGGTTTTATATTAGTCTATTAAAATGCTGAAAAAGAGTGGTCACATTTCATGACTTTACGTATGGTTTTGCATACTTTCTATAGCTTGAGGTAATTTAAAAACTGCCAGTCACAAGGAGAGCAGTTTTATTTTCAATAATTAGAGACCTTAGCAAGTCAGGCGGACTTTATTTTGAACTCACACATTTGACAGTCCCATAAAACTTGTCCCGCGCGAATACTTAAGCGCAGCAAATACCTTATTTAGGAAAGGAATGTTTCTATATCTGCAGTTTTAGTACATGTGAGACGGGGTGAAATTAACATACAATTTCCCATTTCATTACGAGAACAGTACATTCCGAGAAGTGCTGGACAAACATCCAGCCAAGACAATGTCTGCGAAGAACTTAGCAAGGGAAAGAAGCACGTACGTAACTCATTTTCTTACTCAGGTATTATGAACCGAACATTGAGGAAGCCTCACTTATTTGCTCAAATGCATAATTCCAATTATAAAGATAGAAGGCTATAGTTGCCTATGTTATTCCTTGCGATATATCTCTGAAAAGATCCAATTTTTCATTGGAAGCACCGATTGAGCGGTTACTAATGAATCAGGATAGGGGTCCCAGTCGTTGACCACACTGTGAGTGTATCTAAATTCCAAAGGCACTTTATTCAACCTGGGTTGTTGATTATGTTAGCTATTCAGTTCATTATCCCAAATTTCGAGGACCGTTTGAAATGCCCACACTGACCTGAACACCCACATGGCATGACTGCGTACAAGGAACCACTGTTTTGCACTAGGTTATATCTTCTAACTAAAGAGGCACAGTCCAATCGTCTAACATCACATCACCAGCGAATTCAGTCATTACGTCGATTTTCCGACCATTTTATAGGGTTTCTCTGCAAGATATTATATAAGGAGCAACTCACCATGGTTAACGATCTCGACCTTTTAGCACGCTAGGTGTTGACAACAAACTCAAAGAAACAACTCTCAATGTCCAATGTAAAATTCAAACATATTCGTTCGACGACTCCATATTAAGGTTAAAAATGACTATGGTTTTTCTTGAACTTCTAAAAAAACAAAGACAACGACTGGGATACGCTCTTAGTTTTGATATGAGAAGAGTCGCTTAACTAACATTCTGAAGAATTCATCCACTTCATTGTTCTCAGTATTCAAAACCTTTATACGCATGAAAGTTATTGCAGTTATTCCCTCCCTAAGTTCCAAGTAAAAAATCACAGCGATGTATCTGTACTTCACCCTGTTCTCAGAAGTCCTTTTTTAGATGGACCCACGATTGCCCATAAACTCTGACTTCCACCTCATGTGATCTCTTGTGTCACATACGGACAACTAATATGTCGCTTCCCAATAGGGTTTCAGTTGACATCCTGGTGTGTCACGTCAATCAGAGGGTCCCCTCAGCATATGCCCAACCCACCTCGATTTCCTTCCGCATATTGATTGAGCAGTAGGCTCTCGTTTGGTTCACCGACGCGGGTTTTTTGTTTCTTATCCTTTTCTGACACTCACTTGGTATTAGTATTAAAACTTTGAATCTGTGTGTTCTTGTGCTGATCACTGCAGATCCCCACACTGATTTCAGTGTGATTCGCGCCTGGCTTGCTTTTCCCATCTAATCCTGTCTCCTGTAGTCGAAACGATGCTGCTCAGGTGAGTATAAAAGACGACTACTATCAGATTTATCCCATTGATGATGATTGGCGTTTGTTGTCGTGTATCTCACACACACGTGGTCATGTTGCTTTCCTGGTTCGCTTTAAGTAACTTTGTGGCTTTCAAGACTTCTGTTTTTTCAACAGATATGCGTTCACTGGGAGTTCTTTGTTGGTAGCAATCTAAACAGGATACAGGTGGTCAATTAAAGAAATGATCATTTCCTGTGTTTCACTTTTATGGTATCTAGATTACTTTCAAGCGTCGGTGGCACAGCTGTAGAATGATCGCTGCCCGGTGCATTCCTCGCTAAGCCATTAATAAGACTGGTAGAGAGGGAAAGTAGGGTATGAGGCCGGCAACCCCATCCGGTTAAAAATAAACGCCACCGCTACCATATATTGAAGCCCCTAGCATGAAGCCTTATGTTCTGTTGGGAACGCTTAGGAATAAAAAAATAACGGTAAGATTACCTTCAGTATCTTTTACTGGTTTAATATGCTTTGACTAAATGTTTGTGAAGGCGTATTCGAACCGTGATCCACACATTAATATAATGCACCAAATTACTTACTCTTATTTTTCGAAGACTTTAGGCATGAACACCTAATAAGAATAAAAATACTAATGTTTACTATCTCGCAAAATGTATGCACTTAAATGTCTCTTAATATAATAAAAAGTCTCGTGATGCTGTCGAAAGTTGAGACTAAAGTGGTTCATGATAGTGAACTCTTGAACAAACAAATACTGGACTGCAGTCGTTTGTCCTGCCTCATCACAGTGTGGTCCGTCAAAGACCCCAATGTATGTAACTATCATTTTGAATTCTGCGGGACAGCATCTTGAAGCTCTTCGCGGCCATGGTTAAGAACGCTGAATTGATGGGGTAAAGAATACACATATGCTTCAAATGATGGGTTATATATTGCGGATGTTTACTCACGGTCTTCTGCGATCTTTTAAGTTGGCAAGAAAACAACTGCCCTAAAAAGCGAAGAATGATAAAAATATGAAGTGCTAGTTCGTGGAGCCGCTGACAAAAACCAGGGACATCTCAGTTTAACCCTGCATATTTCGATGATGGTCAGGGTAGCGCACGCCCGTATTCATCCTTACTCTTTGGGGGAATTTGTGTGTGGGTTTTTCCGGCTGCATGTCATCCTCGTATACTTTCGGCAACGTCATATTGGCCACACCGTCTCCATCACTGTCGTTGTCATCTGTGTGGAATAGATTACAGTTCTAGTTTGGAGAGCCCACTTCGGATCCACTCGCTTTCACGGGTTCCCATTGCTTCCGTACTATTCCTCCTCACTTCTTATGCATTTTGAATGTGCTTTCATCCGCAAATATGGTGCAGACATTCCATACTCCTATGTTCACCTTCGCTTTGATGGAAACATGGTGCATTGACCAGCGGCTTTCCGAATGGTTTATCAGGATGACGCCACTCGTCCTCAGATTGTGAAGTTCTTCTGATTGTGGCGACGAGTAAATTAACTGCGTCTGTCCTTCGATGTTCGATTGGACATGGTGTGTTTTTCACTGGTAGGTCCCTAATCCTAGGCCCAACCTTCCATCTTTCCAAGCCTTAAAGTCGCGTGGTGTACTAAGTGATGTCACCTTGAAGATTGTCAGTCAGTAGATTCTTTTTCACGAAATCGTAGTAATTCCATTAAAGATTTGGAGACCGCTGAAAGGGGGCACAGTCATGCTCTTGCAGCTGGCAGATCTCAGCTCTTTAGTATTGGCCAGAGGAGTGGATGCTTTCCATAAACTCAATGATGTGCGCGGCCGGTGCCGATTGACAAACAGCTGTCAATGCACATGACGCAGAATAGCAGCCCCTCGAGTTGTGACTCGGGTAAGTTTGTGTATCATAAAAATTTATGGCTTAAAAACCAGTATGAACTTACGCTTATCACCCATCAAGACTTCCCTTCTTTGTCAACAATATTTTCTTAGGTCTTAATACGAAAAGTTTCTCTCCTATAAATGTTTGCAGTAGCGTCAAAGCTAGAAATCTGAATACATATATCTAACACACCCGGAAAGGGGATTCATACGTCCTGTAAACGGTTCGGCGAAGTGACTCCCTGGGAAGTTGGGGCAATCATTTTTACTGAACTCCGTTGTTATAATGGGCTCTTCAAGTTACTGGCATCCTGTCAAGGACCTCACAACTTGAATCTTCGTCGAGTGATATTCGTTTGTTTGGTCATGATATTTATCGACATTAGAACAAACAACCCGTGCCTTTTCACTTTTCCTCAGTAAAAGACCCTGGTATCATGGAATACGAATACGACCTAGGTAGGGGATGAATTTCGAGTGCTGCCAATGCTTTCATGTAATCCTCCTACTATTAACCATTACAGAGTTTTTGTTATGTAATCTCAAATGGTCAAGAATAAATTTGCCGGAGATTTCGCCTCTTTCATGCGGCATGTCTTCAAACAGTCTGAGTCAATTAACATTTTATACACTATTTCTCATCCCAATGTATTTTAAAAGTTGAAGCATTTTGGAGGTTTAAGGGATTTTTGTATTTGCTGACTGCTGTCTTTGCTTCTCATTAATGGGAGGTGACTGTTAGCACTGACCCATCACTCAGCCTATGAGTTTGGTCATTCATTTCCGCGTCATGTAATTACCCCGGTGTTTCCAAGTGGTATAAGCCTTCCTCTGAGGCTAATGTACTAATTTTTTGAATTAAATTCGATTTTATTCCACGATTTTATTTTCCGGGAGTGAACCAACCAGGAACCGATTGTGAAACAAACAGGCAGGAAGAAATGGAGATGGACTGGCCATACACTGAGAAAACAGCCCACCAAGTGACATCACTAGACAAGCCATTGCTCGAGTGGAACCCGGAAGGGAAGCAGCGAGTCGGTCGTCAGTGTGTGGGTGACTTGGAGGAGGTCATGTGAAGAGGAGATGAAATCATGTGGGCAGACTTGGAGCGGGGTGAAAAAGTTGGCAGAAAACCGAAGGCAATGGAGACACGCAGCTGAAGCCCTATGTTCCTATAGGAATTAAAGGATATAATAATAATTATTCCTCGGTGAGTCAATCAGTAACATAGGTGTGAGAAACAGTCCCTTAACATGCTTGTCTTTTAGATATATTAGTGGTTCATGAACCTAGAATCTCGCTGTCATCCATGCGTAAACATTTTGAGACCATGTCAGTTGTGAGTCTTATAAGTCAACCCCACACGTTATGGTGATTAGAAAGGGTTCTTTCTGGGTGGGTTTGTTTTTTTCAAATGATATTTTCACCGTTTTCTCTTATCATCACCAACAATAAATCGTTATTTTTTGGGATTTTTAATTAAGATTAAAATGGTAGGAACCCTTCTTTAGCCTCACATTATGCAATGTGAACTGCCATCGATTGCACCTAAAACGGCATCATTTGCGCAACACCAGTTAACTATAAAGGCATGGTATTCCAGGTGGTTTCAACTAAACTTGATAACATATCGAACAGCAAGTTTAAGTTTGGTGCTTTAGAGCCAGGAAGTAAACGGTTTTGTTCGACCTTCAGAAATGAAACACGGAACACTTCCCGATGAATAGCCCAACTACATATGAATGGTTGGCATTTTAAAAGTTAGAAACAAGCACCTATGGTCCATTTTCCTCTTTTATCAACAAGATATTCTTCTCAACAGGATATCTTGTCTTCCTGGTAAAAACTTATAAAATCACTGCCTGAAAAACCAAAAGAAAGTATTAATGGGCTGGAATTAAGTCATCGAGCCACATACTCAGGAATAAGGTGAAACGCCTTACACTAAAAAACACGCGGAAGAATTGATCCTAAGGTCTATTATTCCCAGGTATTTATGAATTACACACCGGCGGATTCTCTTTTCTTGAAAATGAAAACGAAACTTTCATATTTATCAACAGATCAAATCCACTCAACTCCCATCCGGCTGGTCAGCAAAACACTGAATTTAATTTCAACAATAAAAAGAACGATAGGGATTTAGTCCTTCAAAAACTGAAATTATGTAGTCTAAATGACGGCTTATACTCACCGGTAAAATCTACAAATTCTTGCAGAGACAGAAATAGACATACTGATATTATTTAAGGTGATCATAACTGCCTAATGCCACTGACTATGATTACCACATTTTGTGTCCTTAACATAGGTGAAAATTTGCTGAGATAATTTCCCTTGAAGCCACACCATCACTGTACTACCGATATGATTACTTTTAGAAGACTTGATGCTACAGTCTCTTC